CCAAAACGACGGTGAATCAAACTCCACCATCGATATGTGTAACTGATGCTGAATTTGAGCCAATCATAATGGACCTATTCTACAATGTGTCGAAACACTCAGGAAGGGACAAATTGACTCATGTAAGCAGTGACCACAAGAGAGCAGTACAAACGTTTTCACCGAGTTAATCCACAGAAAGCCATGAGTTTTGGTCTTAAAACGCTACTAGATGTGTTTTGCATACAACCAACTTCCGACTCTATTTTATGTAGCGGCAGACTAAATCCTTTTGTAGTCAAGTAGATTTTTAACATTTGCATTCGCCGATCTCGGCTGACCTCCCACCTACAGGGTGTCTGTCTGCACTGATTTTGGGTTTTATGGGCAAATCACAGAGCCACGGTTCATAAAACATTGTGGTGTCAATGTTGCACGATGAACTTTAATAAGAATGCGGATGCGCAATACAATGGCAATGCAGATGAACGATCCAAAGTTCGCGCCAGCCGTTTCGACTGACTCGAAATTAAGCGCACTACAAATAGTTGGCGCTCGATCAGGAGGGACAGTGCACTTGGTTGTGAGTCCGGATAGTATGCCAGCGTCATTGTCTCGTTTCCTCTAGCCGAAACTAGGCTAGACTGCAGCGCTAGTAGCCTGATGAGTTATGGGTCGGGTTACCCAGATGTATCAACTTCCAGCTCTGTCTTGCGGCGCCGCATTGGCAACGTTTTGAATGCGACCTAAACGCTGGTTGTTCCCGAATGGTATAATCAGCTTGCTATTTGAAATCAAAGGAAGCACAAGCGAGTTTGTAACTATGATCAACAGCTCGATTTCACAATGAGACGGCAAAATCAGCTCTTTAAACAGGTGTCGTGAGCCGTTCAAGCTAAAAAAAAAACTATTTAAGATTTCACAAACTATATGAAACGCGCCACACGCATGGCGAGATTGGTTGCGTAAATAATTCAGTTCAGCTTGAACCAACCCAGGGCCTCAGTGCAGCAACATGCTGCGTGATTCAATGCATTCCACTTTTCTGGATAATTTAGACATCAAGACGGGCAGCGAACAATAGGAGGCTGGGGGTGAATACTCTTACAGATCTTCTTAAGGAAGTTTAAAAAAATTGTTAACTTGCCACAGGAACGCTCACATCGCTAGTGTGAGTCACACGATGGAAAAGTTGAAAAGCATGTTAATTCACACCTCCCAAGAGGGCCGCAATAACAACTTGGTGAAGATGGCAACTTTGAAAGGCATGCATCCAGTTAAGGGAAAGCCCTCTCGGACTCGTGTCATTTATCAATTGTTGATAGCACAGCCTAGAGACAGTCAAACAGCCAGAAACTGGTCTCTCCAACGCTGTTAACAAAGCGCCCTTGTGATGCAACTCGGCTCGGTAGGGCAAAATGCAGCTGTGAACGAGGCACACAGCAGACGGTTATTTATAATATCGTTCGGACAATATAAACAAACATCTTCTCTTTGCTTGGGTTTAGCGATTGTGCAGACCCAAGAGGTCCGAAAAAATGGTAAGTGCGTGGGTGGGCTGACGAGCACATCACTACCATTACGGCCAATGAATGATCCCGGGTGGTTTGAACGTAAATAAAGTGCAGGATTTAGGTGTCATAATAACGGACAATGGATTGGATGGATTGCGTTGAAACAATTAAAACCGGCAGACTTACCACTGTGGGATGACTCTAGCTTTGGTGCATAAGGCGCACTAAAATGAGAAAGGATTGATCTGTATCAAGTCCTTCAAGAGGTGAACTTTTGTTTCTGTAATACAAAGAAGTGCCATTCATAAAATAGGCATGTGATCAGGAAATAAAAGTCTTTTTATATTTACGTTATGGAACTCAACCAAAAGTTGTAATGTCGTGTCCCCAATCTCTGCACTACTCTGATCCAACCCCCAGTTTTAACGGGAAAAGAAGTAATTAGGTCGCCGCTCAATCCAAAACCAATGACTTGCAGCAATAAAGCATGGCAATTCTTGACGTCTAAGTTATTACCTCGCCTCAATGAAAAAACTTTGCAGATTTTGGGGAGATTGAGAAGAGAGCGTTGTGAACTTACCTGTCAGGAAGAAAATTGCTTTGCAATAAAGTACGTCCGTCCTCTTCAACTCCCTCCACACCCACACCCCCTAAGCCAACGTCTACATCATCGTCGTCGTCGTCGTCGTCGTTATTGTCGATGATCTTCATTGCAGCGTCTTCGCGTACGAAACTAGGCAGTTGTCCCTTTTCTTCCGTAGGCACCGCTGCTGCCACCACCACCTCCGAGTCAGATACGCCCTTCTTCGACTTCAGTTCATTCGTCGTCTGTTCGGATCGGGAACCACTAGTTTTACTAACCGCCAACAAGAGGATCAGGAAGACTTGAGGAGACAGTATCATCTATGTCTCGAAATTCTACAAGGAAGGAGAGTACACGGAATTTTTGTTTAGGATGACTTCTCAACGCACGAGAAATGCAGCACAAAATAATTAGCATAATTAAGGGAACTTAAGCTGACTTCTGGTTGATTTCGTGAGGCATCCAGTTACTTTTGAAAAGAGGAAATACATTTTGCTTTTCATGGGAAAGGCTTAAATACAGGTGTATTTTATGGTGGATTATTCCTCTGACGTGACTTGTAGACTCATTCAAAGCAGTGAAATTTTTATCAACACGAAATAACAACACCTAACGGAAGACGAGGCGATCTGAACAAACGGGACTTATTAGTAGATTCGAGATTCGGCAGTAGCTTCCTTCAGTCTGAAGTTTGAGGTTAAGGCGAGAGTTTTTAGGTAACCACTAATCAGTCCATCAGAGCAATTCTTGGATGGCCATTAGTTATGCTTCCCTTCTTGTATTTCATTCCCCTTTCTCCTCAGAGACAATCGCAGAACTTTGGGAATGACCGTTACCATTCCCATTTTGTACACGACTTGTTC